GGTGACAGCGAGGGGACAATACAATCCACTATTTTGGACACTTATACCTGGTTTACAGACAGCAGAAGCTTAACAGTGGGCTGTCTATGTGGCTTAGAGAATGTGGCATTGGAGTACAGAAAAAATATCATACTCGAGTTCACCAAGAACCTAACATGTACACGGAGGTTAAGGAAATGTGTATATCATCATTTTGATTTTCTGAATTTTATGGCTGATCCCATGCGTGGTGGGGAAACTGTTGGAGTCTACAATCAACAATAAGGTAACTGAACACTACAAACTTTCAGTTAATTAGGGAGCACATGGATTTATGACAAATAGGTCATGTCTGACAAACCGCAATGAATTTTTAAAGCAGTGACTAAGGTAGTAGACAGGAGAATGTCCAAGGATCAAAAACAAAGTTGCTGGAAAAGCTCAGCAGGTCTGGCAGCATCTGTGAAGGAGCAAACAGATTTAACGTTTCGGGTCCGGTGACTCTTCCTCATCCAAGGATGCTGTTTTTAAGGACTTCCAACAGGCATTTGATGGAGTCCCACATAAGAGAGTGTAAACTAAAGTAGAAGCCCACAGAATCGAGTCCAAATTACTGACATAACTGTGAAATTGGTTGAGTGACAAGAGACAGAAAGTAAGGATAATAGGTAGGTAATCAAATTGGCAATTGTGACCAGTAGTGTCCCACAAGGATCTGTATTAGTGCCTCAATTATTCACCAATGTATTTATTTTTATCACCAGCTATTCATAGAATTCATAGAATCCCTACAGTGTGGAAACAGGCCCTTCGGCCCAACAAATCCACACCGATCCACAGAGCATCCCACTCGGATCCATTCCCCTATAACCCACCTAATCCGCACACCCCTGAACACTACAGGCAATTTAGCAAGGCCAATCCACCTAACCTGCACATCTTTGGACTGTCGGAGGAAACCGGAGCACCCGGAGGAAACTCACACAGACACGGGGAGAATGTGAAACTCCACACAGACAGTTGCCTAAGGGTGGAATCAAACCTGGGCCCCTGGCGCTGTGAGGCAGCAGTGTTAACCACTGAGCCACCGTGCCACCTTTTTTTTAATTAAAATTTTATCAATGATTTGGATAATGGCATAGAAAGTCATCTATCCAAATCTACTGGTGACATAAAGTTATGCAGCATGGTAGACAATGTAGATGATAGCATGAAATTACAAAGGAATATTGATAGACTAAGTGAATAGGCAAAACTGGCAGATGGAGTTCAATATAAGCAAGGGTGAGGCTATCTATTTTAGAACAAAAAGGACAGGTCAAGGTACTTCTACATGGTATGAAGTTAATTACAGTGGATGCCCAAAGAAACTTGCTTTTTTGTATTCATTCAAGGGATGAGGGCATTGCTGGCTAGCCCAGCATTTATTGCCTATCCTGGCAGTTAGTTAAGTCAACCACAATGCTATGGAGCTTGAGTCACTTGTATTCCAGAGCAGGTATGGGTGGAAACTTCCTTCACTAAAGGACATCAGCAAACCCGATGGATTTTTCTGACAATTGCTTCATGGACATCATTAGACCCTTAATTCCAGATTATTATCAAATTCAAATTCCACCATCTGCCATGGCAAGATTCGAACCCGGGTCCCAAAATATTACCTGGGCCTCTGGATTAACAGCTCAGCGATAATACCAGTAGGCCATCATATTGCCATATAGATGCAAAAAATACCAAGAAGGTTATTGCAATGCTAGCCTTGACATCTAGAGGATCAGAGTGCAAGGGTGCAGACATTATGCTTCAGTTGTACAAAACCATGGTTAGACCCCAGTTGGAGTACTGTGAGCAGATCTGGTCACCACACCTTAGGAAGGATATATTGGTCTTGAAGGGAGTACAAAGTAGATTTACAAGAATGATACCTGGACTTCAGGGGTTAATTTATGAGGAGAGATTATACAAATCAGGCCTGTTTTCTCTCATATTTCAAAGGTTAAGGAGTGATCTGATTGAAGACTTCCAGACATTAACAGGAAAAGACAGTAGATAATGATAAATTATTTCTACTAGTTGGGGATTGTAGATCTACCAAGGTCATAGTCTAAGTATTAAGGCCAGACCATTCAGGAGAAAATGAGGAAACCTTTCTATGTGCAAAGGGTGGTAGATGTTTGGAGCTCTTTTCCACAAATGACAGTGAATGCCAGGATCAGCTGTTAATTTTAAATATGAGATAGAATAAAGTTGTGTTAATCAAAGGTATTAAGGGATATGGGCCAAAGGCAGGTATCTGGAGTTGGGCCACAGATCAGCCATGATCTTACTGAATGCTGGAAAAGGCTCGAGGAGCTAAATGACCCACTCCTGTTTATGTGTTTCTATCTCAGCTTCAACATAACACTTCAACCCATTACTAACTAAAAATCTGTCTATCTCTTCCTTAAGTTTATTCTGTGTCCTGATGTCCACGTAATTCTAGGATAGCGAATTCCACAGATTCATGATGCTTTGAGTGAAGTCCCGACCTTGAACACAGATCCCACCATTTTTGAGTTTGCTGGGGACAAAGTTGAGTCACATTTTGAGGAAGTGTGGTTGACAGAAGTGGATATAAAATTACAGCTTACTTCAGTCAGATCTGATTCTTGAAAGGATAGAGTGAGAATTTCCGACTTGTGTACTTTAAACTTACTAAAATGTCTAAAGCTGCTAACTTTAACTGTAACTTTTTGAGAATTACAGTTAGAATGTGGATAGACCTGGGGACACATTTGGAGGAGGAATGTGCCCTTAGGAAGAGGGAAGTGTCGTATGAGATTGTTAAAAGTAGATATAAGTGTACGTAAATTAATTTGAACTGTTAAAAGTTTTTAATTTCCTGATCTTTAAAATTTTGAAAGAAAAAACGGTCTGCAGTATTAAAAACAGTAGTGCTTGGTATTTTACTCTGTCAGTTGACAAAGCCTGAGGACTTACCTTATAGGATTTGTGCTGCATGACTGATTTTACAACCTGTCATTATCACAGTGAGGTGCCTGTCAGTTTGGTTTGGTTGACAGCACTGAGTGCTTATGAAGTCTCGATGTACGGTTATGAATACAAATAGTTGTTTTCATGAGAAATTAAGTCTTGAAGGAAGTTAAATGTAGTGAAAGAGTTTTTATTAATAGACGGACTTTCTGAATTCATCAAAACTTAAAGAACGTAGCATGGGTTCTGAGACCTTGCGCATGGTGGAGATTGAATGTATTGTCATGAAGAATAAAAGGCCAAAGGGTGATGGGCAGAGGGCATGTGATGGCATGAGTTGGCACTAAGTTGGCTCAGGGGCTGTAAAGGTATGTATGTGAGATGGGGCATATGTTAGCATTGGGGTTATGAGGTAGTATTGAAGCTGGATATTGGGTTATAACTTGAAATGGAGATATGAGAGGCCAAGAGGCAGCATGGGTTGGCACGGATGGGACATGGGGAGTGTGTGTAGGATGATGGCTGGAATTTCTTTTTGTGTTTTTTTAGAAGCTTCGACAAAGTCTCAGATCACAGCCCGCCTCCACATCAGCAGACCCAACAGCTACCTCCAAACACTTCGTGGGGCAATGGGCCCAGCACCAGCACTTTTTACATTCACTTGTGGGATGTTGGCATCACTGGCTGGGCCAACATTTCTTCCCCATCCCTAATTACCCAGACAGCAGACAAGAGCAAACATTGTTGCCCTGGGTCTAGAGTCACATATAGCCGGATTGGGTAAAAATGGCAGATTTCTTTCCCAGTGGGACATTATTCAGCCAGATGGATTTTATGAAAAGCGACAGCGGTTACATAGTCACCATTGAGCTTTCTTTTCAATCCTAGACTTTTGTTGAATTCACATTTTATGATCTTCTATGGTGGAAATCAAACTCGGGTTCCCAAAATGTTTACCTGAGTCTCTGGATTACTAGCCCAGCGGCACTGTCACCATGCCACTGCCTCCCCCGTTAACACCTGTCTGCCCAGAATACACGGTCCTTTTCCCAAGTCCAGTTGGTAGAGCTGGCAACTTTACCACTTCCCTGCTCCTGTTTCATGACAGAAAATTCAGGTCTGTGCTATCATAGCTGGAATCTCCCATTGGTGGCATGGCTCTTGTCTGCCAGGTGACAAGATGGTGAAAGCCTTGGGGGCTGCTTCCTCCGAAGGAAGATCTAGTCAGCTAGTTGCAAGGATACTGGTGGGCCCGCCTTTCAATTCAACTTCCCTGGAACAGAATTTCCACATGCTAGAACGACCAGCCAGAGACTGGAAATGATACCCACACAGGATGCAGTGATGTGTATGGGTGGCAATGGATGGTGGGTCTAGAAGCTAAGGCAGGGTGTGACCCTCAGCTGGCAAACCCCTGCTCAATGTTTATGCCCTAAATTGAGATCCATGACTCCAGCTCCCCACTACTCCAACTGCCAAGCAGCCTGCACAGGTTTTGCCTCTGCAAGCTGGATAATCCTAGAGGTGGTGGGTTGAGGCCCTTGAGTGATCCTTTACTGGCCCCTTAAACGTCATAATCGGTAGCATGAGAAGATCAACTAGAAGTCTGCCCAGGCAGAACATAACATTGGCAGAGGTGGGAAAGCAGCAGGGCTTCAGTACACCATCACCTGCCCTGATGAAACATCCTCTTCACCTCTAGCACCATCACATCTGACAGCATAAGATTCTACCCAGTGTGTTAGCTTCTCTCTGACTGCTAAGGATACTAATTTTAGTCTGTTCCACTGTTACATTCCCTAAAAGAGGCATGTGCCAAGTAGCCTTTAACCAAGCTCTTGATGTTCAGAGCAAAATTGCTAATTTAGTTCATCTCAAATTGTCCTAAAGCACAGCCCCACTGAAATCTACTTTGAGATTGCTTCAACTCTGCTCACAAAGGACCCTTACAACAGCAACAACATTTTACATTACAGAAGTGCTTTCTCACAGTTAAAAATATATACTTTTGAAAATAATCTCATAGCAAGCATGCTTACAGAACTTACTTAGCTTCTCCTATTTTGATGCCTGGGTGCTGTGTGTAGGCATGTGAATGAGTACTTGGTGCCGACTTGAAAGCCATGGGGCAGATAGGACATTTGTAGAAGATCTCACAGTGGGTACCTTGGATATGAGATTTCAGGGCAGCTAGGTCAGCATAGACAACACCACAATGTATACAACTGCAAGAAGAAAACAATCACTAATGAAATACACAGAATATCTTTATAACAAGCTGAACATTAATATCTTGTACATAAACAGTTCAGCATTTAATTTTCCCATGCACCTACTTTTGTTGCTAGAGGTATGAGCCCAAGCTGTTTCTCTGTTGGATTGTGATCACTACCTGTGCTGACCATCCCCTATCCTGTTTTCTCCTATGTACAAACATATAACTTAAGAGCAAAAGTTGGGCATTTCATCCCTCAAGCCTGCTCAGCCATTAGATAAGATCATAACTAATCTGATTATGGCCTCAATGCATTTTCCTAGCTAACCCTGATAACCTACAAGGCCTTTACCATTTAAGATTTTATTTTCCTCTGTCTTCAAATTATTCAATAACACTGTTCCTTCTGATCTCCAGGCAAGAGAATTCAACTGACTCATGACCCTTTAAGAGAATGAAATTCTCTTTATTTAATTCTTCAATAGGAAACCCCTCATGTTTAAACAATATCCTCTACTTCTAGTGTCTCTTATAAGTGAAAATATCTTTTTGGCATCCATCCTGTCAAGCCCACTCGAGTTCCTATATGTCTCAGGAAGATCACCTCTCGTTCCTCTAAATGACAGTGAATTCAGGCCCAACTTACCCAACTTTTCCTCAGAAAATACCTCGAATAAGGGTGAGGTTATCAGTCAAATGCTCTGATCTGCATCAGATGCAATTTTACCCTTCCTTAAATAAGGGGACTAAAACTATGTACAGTACATGAGTTGTGGGCTCACCAATGCCTCATACAACTCATCCCAACTTTTATATTCCACTCCCTTGCAACAAAGGCCAACATTCCATTTGGCTTTCTAATCACTTACTGTATCTGTATGGTAATCATTTCTAAATCGTGTAACAGGACACCAGTATTCTCCTGTACCTCCGGGTTCTGCAACCTCCCTTTCAAGTTAAACTGTATTCTGCTTTTCCATCCATTCTGCAAAATGGACAAGTTCAAATTTTCCCACATTATACTCTACACTACCACAATTTTTCCCCAATCACAACTAATCGAAATGTATTTGCAGTCTGTCTATGTACTCTTCAGAGCCTTCAGTCCTACATATCTTTGTATCCTCAGAAAATTTAGGAAGTATTTGTTTCAGCTCCCCAGTCATAATCAAAAATGAAGGAATGTTCAAATCCAAACGTTATCCTATGTGTTTCAAATACAAATGCAAAGTCACAGTGCATTTTGTGTGGATTAGATGTTTTAGTTGGCTTTCTAATTTTTTAGAGTGTACAACCAAACAGGAGTGACAGATTGATGGACTGGATCCCAGTTGAGTGGGAGAGATTGAAAAGAAGGCAAGAAAAGTGAATTTCAACCCAAGGCAGGTCAATATTTTAGAATCACAGTAATAAACTGATAGAGTAACACAAACATACAACTAACCGGTATCCCACTTTACGGGTGTAGTGCAGGCAATTCCTGGTGACATGAGTCTGAAAGTGCGAGGACCTGCATATCGCTCCACATTCCGGACATGTGTATGGAGACTTGTGCTGATGTATTCTTAAGTGCGATGAGAAACTGCACTTGTTGGGAAGTAACATCTGGCATATATGACACGTCTATATTGTAGATAACACACAAACATTTGTAATTAATAATACAAGATGTCCACCACACGACAGATCATCTTAAACTACCTGAACAACAGCTTGCACCTACATATTACCCTTACAGAAAAGCACCTCAGACTAATTAGATGCAAACCTCGAGCAGGAGATATTGGGATGGGTGGTCAAATTCTTGATCGAGGAATAGGTTTTAAGGTGGGGTAGGAGAGGGAGGTTAAAAGAGCAGGGGCAAAGAAATTGAGGGTGGAAATACCAGAGAATAGGGTAAAGAAGCTAGATGCCACAGCTTCCAGAAATGGAACAAAAGCAAGAGGAATGTGTAAGGTTAGAACAAGAAGAGAGTTTTAAAGAAGAATGTTGCAAAGCTTGGACGGATTATAGAAATAAAACAGGCAAGACAGTTAAGGGATTTCAGTACATAATTAAGAATTTTAAATATGAGGTTTTAGAGTGTGCGGGGATATGAGGATGGCAAAGAGGGTCAGGAAAAGCAGTAGCTGTGCCTGAGCAGAACTTGATGTGATTTGACATATGAACAACAAAAGTTTTGGATGAGTGGAGCAGCAAGATGATGGGATGCCAACCAAGAGAGCTTCAGATTAACTGAGTAAGGGTAAAGGCATGAGAAAGAATTTTAGTAGCTGGATGAGACAGAGGTGGCAGTGTTAGAGGTTTAGCTAGTCAGCATTTATGGTGGTAGAGGAGCTGGATATGAATCTCAACTTAGGATGAATAAAACACTGATGTTGAAAACAGCCTGGTTTACCCAGAGATGCTAGCTGACAAATGGAGTAGAATATATATCAACGTGTAGACCTGGTGGCAAGAGTTGAAGATGATGGCTTGGTCTTTCTAATGTTTAACTCAAGGAAACGGAGGCTCATTCTGACAAGAAGCAATGGAGATGTCAAGCAAAGCTGAGTGTCATCATCCTACATGTGGAAAGTACCTCCTTGTTAGATGAGGAATATGAGGAGACTACTAGTAGACCCTTGAGCACTCTACTGTGCAGGAGTGAGAAGTGAAGCCATTTCAGATTACAGGTGTGTGAATTGTGATAAGTCGCAAACCTATACTTGTTGGTTCTGATGAAGGTAGAACCCTGATTTTGGACTGCCTGCTCCATCAAATGATTGCAATGTGTAGTCTCATGCTAAGTACGCTATTGAGTGCAGTCAATCAAGGACAGGAGTGAGCGAAGGCTAATACCAGTGAATAATAACCTTAAGTTTAGGGGAGAGGGGTTCTGACTATAATAGGTATTGAAAATGGCTGAGGAAGAGTGCCTGATCTGCAAGAGTGAAAGTGGTGGAGCATCAGGAGATGAAGTGGGCTCCCAGGTTATCTCAAAGTGGACTAGAAGCTTCAGTGTAGGAGGTAGAGAATAGAAGAGATGTTCTGTGTACACAGGGGGCCAATAAACCATGCAGATAGACACTGCAAAGGCTTTGGGATCAGCCAGCTGCTATCAGTCAAACCCCAGTGCTACAAGATGTTCAGTGATGTCACGAGTAGTCAAGGTTGGTGAATCAATCTTGAAATGCCATATCCTAGCAACTGAACTATTAACCTTATACACTGCTCAATTCACCAGACCCCCATCACCAACAATCTATCAGTCACAACTCATGTCTCACATTTGTTACCCTCATTCTTTTAGCACCACTACAAGCTTCTCGTAGATTGCACACACAGCCAGTTATTCAATCTCAATAGCTACATCATCCAAGCAGGTAGGACTATATTCACTGAAATGCTTTCCCCTCCTTTGCAGGACAAGGTGTTGCAAAACTAGAGGTGGAAGGATCAAGACAGGCCTAGCTGCGTGTTCTCACCACAAATTAAGAAACAGTAATTGTCGGCACTAGGACAACTATCACAGAGGCCATGGTCAGTGGTGGGCCCAAAATCATTGAGGCTGTCAGTAAGTTCATTTCTTCTTACCCAACTTTCCCATCCTCCCACAATCTCCCCCGACTAGATTCGGATCATATAAGCATGCACCTCTTTGTTACTCTCATCTACATGCTACAATCTACTCTTATGTCTTTCTCCTTTCAGGCAGTAGTGGAAGAGCAAGAAGACAGTGATAATAAAGAAAAATCATCACTCACTCTCAGTCTCTGAGCTGACGGCTGCGAGTGTGACATTGCATACTTTACAAGACAGCACAGGGGCAGGATCTACACCGGGTAATACACCGAGCACAAATGGGTTGCAGGCAGGTGCCCGTTCATTGGAGAGCAAAGTTTCTCTTCATTTCCAAAGGACTACAGATGCTGTAAATCAGGAACAAAAACACAAGTTGCTGGAAAAGCTCAGCAGGTCTAGAAGCATCTGTGAAGAAAAAAGTCAGAGTTAACATTTCAGGTCCGGTTCTGAGGAAGGATCACCGGACCCAAAATGTTAACTCTGATTTTTTCTTCACAGATGCTGCCAGACCTGCTGAGCTTTTCCAGCAACTTCTGTTTCTGTTTCTCTTACTTTCCCCTGCTGCAGATCCACATGAGGATTTTAGTGGGATGGTTACTAGAAGAAGGTGGATGGATATAAAGACTAAAGTGCTTGGTATATTGGAAGGCCTAACAGAAATCCTACAGAAATATCAAAGAACATGGAGGGGTTCCGAACTGATTGACAATAGGACCTTGTGGAAGGAGCATGGAGGCCAAGCTCTCCATTATGAGAGTGGCAGTCAGCGCCAGCTAGGAAAACCTACAGACCCATTTGTGATACACAGTTTCCATTGTGACATGATCAGAAGCTATCCAGTGTCTGAGTGCTGCAGTGGAAGTTCCAATTGTAATCATGCAAACTGGGCTTGTTACTACAAATGTCTGAACTTGGCTGCAGATATCAGTATTCAGAGGTTCCAGTAATCTGCATTCCAGCATCACCTCCTAGGAGTGCTGGTGGTACTATGAAGCATGACCTTAAAGTCTTGTCTCCAATGATAGCATTGGTCCTTCCAGGACAGCTATTTGCCAGTTACCAGATCATACAGAAAGGAAACAGGCCCTTCAGCCCAACTCGTCCACACCGAACAGGCAACCCCATCTGACCTAGTCCCATTTGCCAGTATTTGGCCCATGTCTCTCTAAACCCTTCCTATTCATGTACCCATCCACTTGCCTTTCAAATGTAATTGTACCCGCCTCCACCACTTCCACTGGCAGCTGTTTCCATACATGCACTACCCTCTGCGTGAAAATGTTACCCCTCTCACCTTAAACCTATGCCCTCTAGTTTTGGACTCCCCCACCCTAGGAAAAAGACCTTGGCTCTACACCCTATTCATCCCCCTCATGATTTTATAAACCTCGAAAAGGTCACCCATTAGCCTACAATGCTCCAGGGAAAAAAGCCCCATCCTATTCAGCCTTTCCCTATCACTCAACCCCTCCAATCCTGGCAACGTTCTTGTAAATATTTTCTGAACCCTCTCAAATTTAATCAACATCCTTCCTATAGATGGCGACCAGAAATGCACGCAGTATTCTAAAAGTGGCCTCATCAATGTCCCGTACAGTTGCAACATGGCGTTCCAACTCTGATAGTCAATAGTTCCGACCAAAGAAGGCAAGCATGACAAATGCCTTCTTTACCACTTTGTCTACCGACTATTCCACTTTCAAGGAACTGTGTACCTGCACCCCTAGGTCTCTTTGTTCGGTAACATTCCCCAGGGCCCTATTATTAACTGTATAAGTCCTGTCCTGGTTTGCCCTACCAAAATGGAACACCTCACATTTATCTAAATTAAATTCCACCTGCCATTCGTTGACCTATTGGCCATCCGGTCAACATAGAAAAACAGAAACATAGAAAACAAGAGCACAAGGCAGCTATTCGGCCCTTCAAGCCTGTTCTGCCATTCTTCACGCTGGCTGATCATCCAACTCAATAGCCTAATCCTGCTTTCTCTCCATAAACTTTGATCCCATTCATTCCAAGTGCTATACCTAGTCGCCTCATGAATACATTCAATGTTTTGGCATCAACTAGTTCCTGTGGTAATGAATTCACTCCGTGGGTGAAAAAACGTCTCCTCACCCCAAATCCTCAGACTGTGACCCCTGGTTCTGGACATACCCACCATCGGAAACATCCTGCATCTACCCTGTCCAGTCCTGTTGGAATTTTATAAGTCTCTATAAGATACCCACTCATTCGTATGAACTTTAACGAAAACAATCACAACCTAGTCAATCTCTCCTCATACGTCAGACCCGCCATCCCCGGAATCAGCCTGGTAAACCTTTGCTGCACTCCCTTGAAAGCAAGAGCATCCTTCCTCAGAAAAGGAGACCAAAATTGCACACAATATTCTAGGTGTAGGGAGATAATCTTCTTCACTGTCCACCACACCACCTATTTCGGTGTTATCTGCAAACTTACTGACCACTCCTAAATTCACATCCAAACCAATTACATAAATGATGAAAGGCAGTTGGCCCAGCACCAATCCTAAAGGCACACCGCTGGTCACAGGCCTCCAATCCTAAACGCAGCCTTCTACCACCACCCTCTGTCTCCTTCCTTCAAGCCAGTTTGTGGTGGTCTGCAATGATCTTACAATGTGGCTGAAAATAGCTACCTAGACTCCCCCTAGCTCCCCTGAATCCCATGTGATCTAATCTTACTAACCAGTTGCTGTTTCTGGTCAGCTAGTCCAAACTGCTGATGCTCATACAAGATAGCACAATTTGATACCAGCTGGTCTTTCTAATCTCCGAGCTGTTTGCAACCACGTTGTAAGACCATCTGTAATATGCCCCAGTGAAAGGCAGCAGCCTTACACCAGGAGCTCAGGTAGCATCGCGTAGAATCATGAAACCTGGTAATGGTCCATAGAAGACAGGCAATGAAAGCGCACACAAGGATGCTGAGTTGACTGGAATGTAATATTGAGTGAATTCATTTATAAATTTGTTTTGGAATGTTTGATTTCTGCTCTCTCGCATTTCAACACTAACATGAATACTCCAAAA